CATGACTTTGCTTGCTGGGATCTTCGCCTATTTGGCCACTGGTGATGGTGGTTGGGTTACAATTGTTTTCATGTGCGGGGGGGTTACGACATTGCTCTGCAACGTTGCAGCGAGCATGCTAGCCATTTGCTCTTTGGGAAAGTCTTTTTTGGATCTATGGCGTATTTGTAGGCTGGCAGAAGCGACCGAGGCCTCCCCCTCTGCAGTAGATTCCTTGAGACGAGCCCGAAGGTTTGCTGGTCTGCAAGCCATTGGCGTTTCATTGAGCCTGGTGTTCACGCTTCTGCTTGTCCCAGCATGGGTTTTTGGAAGTTGGGCTGAGAGGGGACTTGAAAACGGGTTCGCTGTGGCGTGCTTCTTTATCCAAGCTGTTGATCCCCTTGGCAATGCGGTGGCCGTGCTCCTTCTGTCCGGCAGCCACAGAATGCCCAAGGTTGAAGGGAGGCAGCCGAGCTGGTGCTGCAAAGTTGGAAAACGCGAGCATGTCCCACAAAAAGACGGCCCTTCGCATGCAGAAACCGATACCACCTGGAGCAGAAAGGTGGAAGAACTCTCAATGAGGGGTATGACCTTGCGAAGCCTCCTGCAGTTCTATCAAGACGAGCTCCCTTCGATGCCAGATTGGACATATGTACCAAACGAACACAAGACCAGAGATGTTGTCAGACGAGCAATCATACCACTGACCGGCCGAGAAGAATGTGCATTCGCAGTTTCAGCCTTCAATAGGGACGGGCCACGACGCGCGCAGGTGATGGTGACGCACAACTGGGGCAACTCTTTTGGCGATTTGCTGGCTGCCGTGCTGTCGGATGCCCTACAGGAATGCAGTTTCACCTTGCCAGCACAACTTCTGCAGGAAGAGTGCGCTTTCCTTCAGGGCCTTTTGGCAAAGATTGGGCGCTTGGATGACACCTATTGGGTTTGCGCGTTCGCCGTGAACCAGCACATCAGCATTTGCCACAGCAACCCATATGACCGGGATCCTTTCACAAATGAGTTGCACCCAGTGTGCCACTGTGGCAGCACCAACATCGTTGACCCAGATGGCCGAAGTGCAGCATCAGAGATCAACAAGTTTGATGACATGATGTGCCTGCTTGCGAAGACTGGAGGGTGCAGACAGGTCATTGCAGTGGACAAATCTCTTGATTTGTTCCGTCGCGCATGGTGCGTGGCCGAGATTGCGGAGGCCAAACGCTTGCACATGGAGCAATCCTTGAAACTGTCGTCCAAAGCAGTGCTGCAAGACCGTGCTCGGACACTGGAAAACTTGGATGTGCGGAACATGCGCGCCTCCTCGGACAAGGACAAAGAGCTCATCCTGGGCAAGATCGGGGACATCAACGAATTCAATGCCAAGCTTCAAGTGCTGATTTTTGATCCCAAAGCCGGCCTTGTTGCTACGTGGCATGCCATGGACAGCCTGCAGCAGATTGGTGAGGTGGGCCGGCTCATTCGCTGGGGCCGGGCAGATGCAGGCAGTGGAAAAGTGTGGAGGGCATGGGAAGGCCGCAGCTGACCATTTTCCAAGCACAGCCCATAAGAGGCATGTGCGAAAAACACTGTGAAGTGCCAACCTGCTTAAAAGAGTGGCCTCCTTGGTGTTTTTCGAGTTGGCTTGCGTCAACATGTCGATGCTTTGAGAAAAGGTTTTGCACAGGTCGTTCTTCCGGAGTCAATGTGATGAACGGTGCCTCCCCGGCTCCGCGAGGAAGCCGGGAACCTGGCCAACGCTGGGCACCGAGGCCAAGGGAGCGGGCAAGACACAAATGGACACAGCATCTAGAAGCCATGGGCAGGTTGACATCACTAGGGCACTAGGTGGGTAAAAAATCATCCAAAGATCAAGGCCATGCACCATCCTACCAGCTCCTAAGGGACACTCACCCAACGGTAGGCTCAGGCTGTTCCGGTGGCAAGCTCCAACGATGGGATGGGGAGACTCCTGAATGTCAAGGGCGGGAATCCATTTCCGGGGCACCCCCGTGTGCTTAGCCCAAATTCCATGTTAGGGGATATTGTGATGCCAGCATATGATGGCACCATGATCACAGTCTTGTTACGCCCACCCGCGAGCCCCAAAACCGCAGGCAGTATGTTACTTTGGTGAGAGCTGCAGACAAAGCAGACCGCAGCCCTGTATAGAAGCCATACCACCGTATTCTATTGACTCGCCACAGGGGTTACAGGCATATACACTGAAGCCATAAGCATCAAAGTTTCACACGAACTTCAGCTTTCGGGCCAGTTGTGTGATAGCCTGGCATGCACGGTTCAGCATTCAGGACTGGAATCTCGCTGGGCTTTGCGAGGATTTATCCGGTGTGGTGGATTTGAAGTTTGACCGCTTCTAAGACTTTGGCTTTAGTGTTCGGTGGGCCGAGTTGCCGGCGTCATGCCTCTCGCAAGCATCACGTCCTACCGCAGTATTTCACGCCGCCCTGGTCGAAATCCTCTCATGGCCTGACCACTCACCTTTCAGCACATTCGCACCGAAATCGTAGTTGTTGTTCCTTTTCTTTTTTCTTCTTACAAAAGGAAACATGCGTGGACAAGAGGAAAATACTAAACAGTAGGATTGTGTTGAACATGAAGCATTTGCGATTTTTGCATCGAGATCTAGGATTTCCCACCGACATCCTAGTTTACTCTTATTGTTCTATCACTTTTCCGTTCACTTTAGGCAAAAATTGGGGAACCAATACGAACACAACCGGAAAACAGAGGACTGTGCCGAAAAATGAACTCTTTTCGATGCTTGTTTTGAATTTTTCATCGAAACCTAGGATTGCTAGCGACATCCTATTTTATTCTAGATGGTTAATCTAGTTGCTAGTTGTTATCTGATGTTTCTTTGCTGTAGGGGAAAGTGAGGGTGAAAAAGGTAAGCCATGAGCAATTGTTTGTGCTTCTTTCTGTTTTTGCATGGACCGGGATTTCCCGCTTTTCGTCCTGTCTCTGACGATCCTGAGTTCCTCATATCCCGTTTTCCTTAGCATTTAATGGATTTGCGATTCTGGCCCTGTACTGCCAGTCTCAAATCTAGGGCCTCCATGTGTCACTGCATGGCTTGTCCCCAACATGGGCTTATGTCACCGCACGCAGGTGCTCTGAGGCGAGTTGTAATGACGGTCGTATTCGTTGACCCTGAAGGTTTGGCTTGGCCGCAGTAGAGCCTCAAGTCCCGATTTATAGAATCACCATCATGACCCAACGATATCCGTCCCGTCCGACAAGCTTCAGGAAGACCCGCAGTCGATCCAGTCCAACCGTCGGCTCTCTTTGAATTTCTTGTCACGCCATGGCCTTGTGCCCTGGCGACACCACCGAATGGGATCTGCCGGCTTCCATTTTCCCTTCGGGCGCCGAGCCTACATATGGAGTCGCAGCCTGCCAGGATGATCTGCAGCGAAAGTTCGGGAACTTGCCACCCTTGGTGCCCACGCCCAAGAGAGGGGGGGGGTCCGAGAGGAGGTCCGCTTTCTGAAATGCGAAGAGGTGATGCCCCTTCGTGCCAAGGAAGGAGGTGCCACAACGAGAACTTCACAAAGCTTTGGCGGGGCACGCAGCGACGCAGCGCGGGATTTGGATTCTGCCTTCCAGCACGTTGCAAGACCCATGCTGGCTCAGGTTGAGGCAGCCGAGGCCTATGAGCCTCTCGAACACCGGAGCTTCGAGGAGTTGGAGGATTCCGCCGCCGACTCTCTGAATCCTCCGCGACTCTTCTTAAGCGGAGGCTTTGGAGGAGGCCGCTGTGGACGACGATCTGCTGCGGAAGTATCGGAAGCAGCGCTTGGCCCGGCTCCTCAGAACAACAGCAGCCCGAGAAAGCTTGACATGTGAAAGAAGGACCACACAACTCGCCGTTTTGGCGCCGTTACGGATCGTAGCACTCCCTACACGCACAACCAGAACACCTCCAGCAGCAGCTGAGCATAGATGAGCTGGAAAGGTTTCGAAAGGCAGCCTTATATGGTTTAACATCATGGAACTTGGGAGCTGACATGCACAAAGAGACTTAGACCAAGCCCGGCGCTTGCGGTCCGAATTCAGTCATCTGCATGTCCGAGCAGGCCTGGTCCTAACATTGCTTGATCTTTTGGGTTCGGGTTCGGACCTCGCACTTGCAGGCGCAGCCTGTGCCGCCTGCAGGTCCAGGAGGTGAGAAAAGGTTTTGTTCAAGGGGCGCTTGCTAGGGGCCGCTAGGGCTTGGAGAGAGCGGGCCCAGGCATCCAGCACTTCTCGATCCCATGCGGTAAGGTGCTGGGCATCCCGTGGCTGAGTTGCACGTACCATCTATGATTGGCCTTTCAGTGCCTTTCCGATTTTGGCCGGTTTTTGCAAACTTCTCTGAGGCTTCGACTCCATGCTCCTCGGAAGCAAAGAAGCACTTAACCGGAGAAGCTCTCGGAGTCTCACTACGGATGGAGTCTCGCCTCGTCCTACATACAGCCAGGTGCTTCTTCCGCTGACAGTGGTACTGGCTGGCCTCAGCCCACTTGTTTCGGGCCATCCATGGCTTTCCGCGCAGGGCCTAAGTGTGATCGAAGCAGTGTCGTGGATTCCCTTCGTGAGAGCACCGAGCGCCTCAAGAACATGAGGTTGTTCTCGCCGTGCTCGTTGCAGGGCCTTTACTGCTACTTGACTGCGAGGCAGCGAAGCATTTCTATGTTTGATGATCCTTGCCGCGAGAGCAGGCTCATCACCGTTTTGATCCACGAGCTGGGCCACGTCCTGGCCGCTAGGCCCATGGACGGCAACTAGATCCTCTGTTCAAAAAATCACGCTGCGCAGGAAATGCGGATGCACGGCTAATCACATACTTCTCTGGCCGCTGGGTGGGTTGGCCTTTATCGGAGGAGCTGTTGGTCCCAAGGACCGGCGGCGGCACCACAGCACACTCTCATGCCTTCGAGCTTTCATCCCAAGCTGATCAAGCCGAGCTTTGTCAGGCGCAGATCTTTATCTCTGCCGCTGGTCCTGCAACTCATCTGCCAATGCTTGGTGCCTTGGGCTGAATGAGAGAAGTACATAAGAAACCCAGAGTTGCCCATGCTCCACGGTATCTCAGGTGCATGGGCACTGCTCCTAGCAGTGCTTCATGGTCGAGTCACCTTATCTCTGAGCGGTCTCTTCTACGAGAGGGACTTCTTCAGCTTGCTGCGCCTTTGCCCTTCTTTCAGATTCTGCTTCATGTGCTGAAGTGTCCTTGGCCTAATGCAGAGATCAACGATCACATCATGGGGGCTTGAGACAGAAACGACCAACCAGGTGCATAGCCATGTTGAGCGTCTCGGCTGCAACTGTGGGGCATGGAAGTTGCTTGTGACACTCGACGCATCGCGCGAGATACCAATGTTGCAATGCTACTCTTTAACTTGCGTGTGCCTCAGCAAGCGGGAGGGGACGTGTCTTTGGCGAAGTTGCGAACAAGTTTCAAGGCTGGTCCCTTGCTTTCCGCTCGACTGCTCCCGGATCCTGGCAAGCGTGCTCCTTTTCTGGATGGAGCCTGGCAAAGCCGCCGGCGTGCGGGGACCCTGCATCATGCTGATCGTGCGGTAGGGAGGCAAAAGCCGCTCATCGTTTGTTTTCTCGAACTGAGAAGGTTGTTGTGGTATGCTCCGTCATTGCGCTCGTTGTGCTTGTCGGCCTGAGTGTTTGGTCGTATGCGATGCTCGGCTGGAACTTGGAGATCGGGCTCTGTGGGAGCTGTATACCCCGGAACAAACAGATTCCCCACTCTCAGGGAAAGAAGCGCTGCATTGCCCGAAGCTCAGAGATGAAGGACGCGTAGCTGGGACACCTAACTCGTAGATGGCGTAGATGAGGTCGTTGAACTTGGTGCTGGCTTTCTGGCTTGCGATGCAGACATGGAGGCCGGTGTCGCAGCACGGTGTCAAGCGGTCAATAGCAGGTGGGTCTTTGAGCTTTCTGGTCTGCAACCACAACATGTCCAAAGCGTGAACACTGCTCATGCCAGGTTGCACAGAAGTCGTCTGCAGGCACTGGGGGGCTCAAAGGTTTCGACCCGAGAGACGATGATAACAGCAGGCTTGCATCTTTGAGTGTGGAACTGGTCTAGACCCGAATGGCCGACAGCTCACGCAGAGTGCAGTTGAGCCTCGCATCTGCGCAGGGGGACTTGGCTTCCGATCCGCTCTTCGCTGCAGCCATGGCAGCTCGGAGCCAAGCCACGGCCTCCGCCACCGCCGCGGCCTCGGTGGCCTCGGACCCAGAGCCTGACCCTTTGCAGCGTTCTCTTTGTCCCCCGCTTTGAGGCCCAAGCTCCTTCAAACAGCTTCCGGCTCTTTGGAGGAGGACAGAAAAAGCGAGTTGAGGGAGATAGAGGGAGAGGGAGACGGCCATCTCGGTGTCGAGGCGCCGTATCCTTGGGCAAAGCTACCGCACCGCCGAGCAGCCAAGTGCCTTCGCTGCACTGTGGCAGCATCGAATTCCTGAAAGTGGACGTGGCTGCAGGCTTGCCTCGGCGCTGCCATTGTACTTTGGGTGGCTACTAGCTTCTCCCGTGCTAATGTGGAGCCGCCATACCATTGGTGATGCGCTCGACCCCGGCTTCCGGCCATGGAAAATCCCGGTTGCCTGCACGATTCCTGCGACTAAAGCCGGCCAAAAAGAGGGCGCCCAGGCGGGTTCCTCGACGGCCGAGGCCGAGCTGAAGACCGCGGCCTCGGCGCGCTTCGGCGAGCTGCGGCAGCTCGTCCGCGCCGAATACGTCCGGGAGGTCACCGAGGCCTCTGCAGAAGGCGCGGTGTGCAGGAAAGCCACGGGTTTTCCTTTTGTTTTGTGTAGGTAGTGGTTCCTTTACCTTAGCTCGCAAGAGTTTCAGCTTCGGTACTCGTACCCAGAACATATAGCATCTTGCTCAAACATGAGCCTGAACAAGTGGAACTCGCTCCGCGAGACGACTTTCCTGCGGCGGCCGAAGAATCCAAAACTGGGACCGAAAGGCTCAGCTTTGGGACCTTGCAGTAGTTGTGCTTTTGTATGTGTCTGTATATATACGCAGATATATTCAGACATCGATCTGCCGGGGGGAACGTACATTCACATCCCCTCCGCATGAAAACTCGGAAAGCTGCCGAACACGGTCCGAATCACTTCAAAGCACCAGGCGCACGAGTCGAAACCTGCAACATAGAAATCCGGGGCCCTCTCCCCATGTGCAGTCGACTTTCATGTTCCTGCCCAATTAACACCCTAGACCGAAGCAGTGCCCAGCACAGCCCGGCATTTTGCGCGCGTGCTATAGGACAATGTCAGCCCGATTGCGAGGTCGTGACATGTCTTTTCTGAATGGCTGTGGGGCTTCCTTAAGCAGACTACAATCGCCCACCCGGACGCTTTTCTATCCTGTCAGGACAGTGGGTGCTGGTGCTGCTGTACACAGAGAGCAGCCTAGCATGTCACCCGATGATGAGGCGCACTGTTGCAGAGACTCCGGGTGCATCTTTACCGCCCTCAAACCAGGCAGTGCTCTTTATGTAACACTCCTGGCCCTAAAAAACTCAGGCCCTGGGCAGAGGCAGCACGGCGATTCCCTTCCGTGAAGTTCATGAAGGGCGTGGCCTCGGAGGCGGGCCGAGGGCTGCGTAGGGCCACGTATAGGGCCCTTAGCGCGCCCCTCACCAAACACCGCATATGTCCTGCCTTTTCCCAATGTTGCTTGACGTACTGCGCACTGTGCGATTTTTCTGTGTGTCTGACAACTGCGCACGCCGTGCCGCCAGATCATTCCTGACTTCCCGGACAGCCTGACACCGACGGTGATCATGTGGCCCTAGAAGGAAGGCGAAGGAGTACGGGAGAGACTGACGCAAAGAGGTACAAGGACAAGGAGTGCATCAAGAAGGTGCAGGGCCTGGCCGAATGGGGAGGAAGTCGAGTCTGCCGGGAGCCCAAGCCCGGTTCTGCGAGTCACATCTCCACACCCCTCGGTGTTTTTCAAAGGTGTCGATTCCGTGGAGTGGGTACTGGCGGAGCTTGGCATTGTCCATGCCTCTTGAGGCTGGCGTAAAGTCAAGATCCCAATTTGCCGGTCCTTCGAGGTGCAATCCGAGCTCGAGGAGGATCCCAGGGCGGCCGCGGCCTCGCAAAAGCCTGCCGACATCAAAACCAACCTGTCGAAGCAATTCAGAGAGGCGGCCGAGATGACCGAAGCACCTCAGGAGGGGGCGTAGCTGTTTCAGCGGCGACGGTGTAGCAGTGGCTTAGCAGTGTACAGCTCGAAGCTCAGAGCAACACTGCCCTTTGCTCGCCAGGACGGGTCCGAGGATTCCGACGAAGGTTCCCGGTTTTTGTGGATGCGCCTCGCGTGGTAAGACGGCAAATTTAAAAGAAATGTCGCTCGCAGGCACAGACGATCGCAGCTACACCTCTGCAAGATTGGAGCGGACGCTGCGCGGAAAGTGGCGGTAAAAGGACGAGCTACTGCACTTGCTGCTTCAACACGGCGTATTGCTGATCCCATCATTGCAGGTGTTAATGTAATGGCAGCGACAGCAACATTTTCAGGTTTGATCAGAGCAGACAAGCAACAGACAAGTACCCAGACCTGCCACAGGACGGTACAGAGCTCTCTACTTGCACTACCTCAAAGCATGTTCCATCGGCCGTCGTCCGAAGCCTGCATACAGCCCCCAGAAGCTCTCGCAGAACATCTTTGGGCAGCTCCTTTCGGACTCCGAGTGTCGGGCTTCAGAGCGTACGCAGATGTGACAACGTAGACAGCCACGGCCACAAAGTGCAGACATATCTGTGCGGGCATATGCCTGCATGTCTGTATGTATGTATACATGTATGTGCGCGTGTCTGTCAGTCTGTCAGTCAGTCTGTCTGTCTTTTTGTCTGTCTGTCAGTATTAATGTAATGTAATGTAATAACGCAATGTATCGTATCGGAATGTAATGAAATGCAATGCAATGTATTGTAATTTAGTAGTGTAATGTATCGTATCGTAATGTAATGTAATGCAATGCAATGCATGCATGCACTCAGACGAAAGCAAAACACCAAAGAACAAACACGCGTGTGTCCGTGCGTGTGTGTACATGAGCCCATCTCTGCCTGTACATGTCCACCGCCGCCCAATTTCAGAGGTTTCAACCAACAACAATCAATAGCACATAAGTTGGTCTACCTCAGTGTTTTTATATTCACATACGCACAGTACAACATGCCGCACCGTTGCATCGACAAGTTCATGGACAAAGAAGCACACCCCGATGTCAACCAAGAAACAACGCCAAATAGCATTCGTGATGTTTGATATTTTCCCCGCTGAAGATTCTATGAAGAACTTTGCTAGGAATCTTCACTGTTTAATGTACCCTGCTTTGGATGTTGAACATCGAAGATCCCATGGACAACATTTCCATGAATCTTCAATGTTCAATGCTGAAATCAAGATTGAAGCATACGAGACTTGGTGTGCTTGCTTGATACTCCCTTCCAGAGATGGCTCAACGGCACTATGTCACCACACCACATGCACCTCTTTCATGCACTTCATGCCCAAAGAGGCTGCCCGCAACCCCAATCGCTGAATGATCTCGCTCATCTCAGCTTTGCTTTGAAGCACAGATCCTATCTACGACTGCAATCTTCCCATCCCTGCAAGGCTTTTGTCAAAGGCAGTACAAACACTACAGTACAGCAGAAAGTCGACTCTTTTTGTGCCAAGGGAAGGGAGGGAACTAAAGCGAATTCTGCACCTCAGCTTCGCCTGTCCTTGGCTTGCTACCGGTACCTCTTGCTTTGCAGTACAACGGATGTGGCAGAGGTCGCATGGCCGCCAAGATTCAAGTCATCCATGACGCGGTCACTTGGCTACTGACTCTAACAAACGAGTGAGCCCATAACTCAAACCGATCTCAGCTCGATGCCTGCAGCTCTACGCTGCGCTCTCAAAAACTCGGCGTCTTCCTACTGAGGGAAATGAACTCGACGGCAGAGGGTTGAGCAAGATTTTAGGCATTGCACACCATCCGAGTATGGGCAGCCGGGCTCTTCAGAGTTCATACTCCAGGCCGTGATGGCCGAGACTATCGCTCGCAATTCCTCGCGGTGGTTTAATCTCATCACGACCACGAGACCTCTGCATGAGTTGGCATTCCCGAGGCGTCTCACAATGCATGCGACAATGCCCCATTCCCACTTGTGCCAATAGGCCGCGTGCGAAAGGACTCGACACAGCAAAACAGCGACTCCGGTTTGCAATTTATAGCTTGGCCGAGGCACAGCGAAAGGAAGATGAGCGCGACGAGCAGGAGGTTGCAGTTGCTGTGTGCATTTGACACTGCAAAAGACATCGTGCAAGGGACACGCCAAGCCCCCTAGTACGTAGAACAACTCGAAACCCGGCTTCCGCAATGTGCTTCTGCGCTTCTGGCGAAAAGCTGATGCGTGGGCATCACGCGGCGCCTCAGGTGCGCTCCAGGTGGTTTGCTCATGCGCTCTTCTTTGATCCACAATTTCTTGATTTTCACAATATCACACTTGCCAGCACTGCTTACACTGTCGGAAAACAGCGTTGCCATTATTGCTGAAGCAGTTGTGAAGCTCGGACGCAAGCAATTCGCCAGCAAGTTGAAGCCATCTTCTCGATACTCAACACTTGCCCGATTGTGGACAAGGCAGGTTCGATGGTGATGGTTGGGATGTTACTGCTCGCATTCAATCATTTTCCCTTGTCGTGCATGCTGCATATTTTATATGGACAAAATATGTCGTGCAATACAGTGGAAAAGTGTTGTCCAGACATGAGCTTCGACTTTCCCAAGATGTGGCAAACAAGTACAAAAGTTAAAGCATGCCTGCAAGACAAGGGGCTTGGCAGCCGCAGTATGGGCGATTGTGGCTGCACCTGTTCGGCTTTTGAATAATTACGTGTCGAGCGTGGCTGTCAATGGCCAGTCGGCCCGCCTCGCCAGCCTCTTCCCAGCTGGACTTTGAAGCTGTGACGACCTGCCCGCCCTTCTCGCAAAGCAAAGGCTGCAGCACTCAGTTCCGACATGAACGACTTGGCATTGTCCAAGTAGGTGCTGATGCCCGACGTTATATCAGCCTCCGGAAGGCGTAAGGTTACAGGGACATAAAACAGGCATTCACCTCGTGACCGGAAACAAGATCTGGGCTCCAAACCGGCACGCCGGCCTTCAACTCGGAAAAGACCTCCATCAAAACGCACACAAAGAAGATGCGCTCCATGGCGTCAGGGAGAGCAGCAGAAGGGCCGAAGGACGCGGAAGTGCCAAATCCAGCCACAAACACTGGTCAAGGGGAGACCATGAGCATGCAAGAGAAAGCAACGCGACATGCGCGCAAGCTGATGGCTGATGGTCCTGTCGCTGGACTGCGGTCATGCTGCTCTTTGGACTCTCTTATATCTCTCACGTCGCCTTCGCCACTGGCGCCGCAGGCCAACGCGAGGCAGGACAAACATCGACGCATGAGCGGCTGCTTAAACCGCTGTATGAATATCTGAGTCTTGAAAGAATCTCCATGCATGTTGCAGTACTTTCGCCTACTGCCTGCACCTCTGCTAAGCGACCTAAGCGACGAAGTACAGTCTCCTCTCAACATACACTGATCCCCTGGCTACTGGTAGCTCGCTTTGCCGCATTTGGCCATCGATCAACTCGGGCCGCTCAATTCAATTTGAAAGTCTTCCCCACGAAAGAGAAAGAACAACCTCGCACCCCGTACTTCGAGTCCTTGTGTGAAAGCTGAAAATTAGCCATGCCGCATTCCTTTTCCATCCTGATACGCTAGTAAATTACCTAAGCCTGTCACCGTAAAGACCCCAATTGCCTTCAAGATGCTACATATGTCTGTTACATCTCATGGTTAACACCCAAGCAAAGAGACCCTAGCAAGCTTTGAAATTCACTGAGGATGATAATTTGCGTGGAGGTTTAGTCCTGAAATATTGCTTACCTCACCTTGAGCTAATGTTGTAAATGTACTAAATCTTGTGTGGTAGCACTGGCTTCACCTGTGTCCCTGATCACCTCCCGCAAGAAGCATCGAAGATCTTTGGTTAACAAACTGACAACCAGACAAAGCTTTCCAAATTACAAAGTTTGAGCTCAATTCACTGTTTAGGCTTGTAGAAGGCTACCATCAGGATAGCTGCATAGCTTTTCCGGGAAGCGTGGGAAACAGAAACGTTTAATCGGCACGAGAGCAAGGGCACACATCTCAACACTCTGCAGCTCACGGGAACACTGCGACGTGCAGCTCAGCATGTATCACCGCCACCAGATGTGTATAAATAGACGCGAGACAAAGGTTCCATCGTCTACCTGCTCACTTCATGATTCTGACATATCCCGGAAAGCACTCCCATCGCAACCCTTGTAGGCCATCAAGTTCCGTGTATGACGAGCCTACTCCAGAAACCCGATGTGCGTGCCGAGTCGGGGCGTCCGGAGAGGGGGTAAGCAGGGGTGGCATTGAAGGCCTCGGCACACTTCCAATCCATTATCGGAGGGCCTGCGCTAGCTGAAGCATGTGCGACACAATGTACATGCACGACTGCGTGATGAGCCCAGATTTGATGGTTTTGGGCTTCCCCGTCCAAGGTAGCCCCAAAAGGAATAAACAGAGTGGGAAGGTGCCTGATCAGTTTGTTGAAGTTGTGAGCGTAGTTTAGCACGCATACGATGACGACGGTTTTTGTTATGCAGGAGCTTAGGGTTTAGTAACATTTAGGGAACAGAAGGGCCTGTCATGGGGCCTGGGTTTTTGCACACC